CACGTAACCACCACCAAAGCGATTCCTCTCCAAGACACAGGCCTGTGCATAACGTTCTCCCACGCGTCTATAGGCACGTTGACGTCCATCACTATGGGAAATGTTAAACCTGGACTCATCTGTAAAAACATTTCTCCACCGAAACAAGGATCTGCGGACATGATTTCGGCACCACATTCGGCGAGCTTGTCGATGACGTTGTGTCAGGATAGGCCGTATGGCGGGACGTCGTGGTCTGATCCCGCGATGACGTAAACGTTGTCGAACTGTGTTGGGATGGATACGGCGAAGTCCTGGGATGGTTCGGGCAGTCATCACTGCAGTCTGAAACCTGTGGCGAAGATGGGTCACCCTTATCCATCTGTCTTGTCTTGGCGTTGTTACACGTGGAGGAAAGGAGGTCCAGAACGTGGCCGATCGATGACGTCATTTGTGTTCTGGTAGCGTCTCACCAGTGCAGAAATGGTGTTCCGGTGGCAGTGGAAATGTGCAGCCACTTGTCGTTGAGACATTCCCCAAGGACCATCCCAATGGCCTCATGACGTTGTGCAGACGTGAGCCTTGGCATGCTATGCGTTTCAATACCCGTTTAATTTTTTGAACGATTGCAAGGGCAGGGGTTGAGCTTTCCAAAGTGACAGTATTGTGTGGCATTCATTTGCTCTGTTTCTCTTTCCCGGGAATGCACGTGCAACAACGTATTGCACGTCTCAAGGACGAACCCACTGACGTCACGGAACGTGGCACGTGAATGCATGTTGGATAAATGTCACTAATCTCTGAGTTTAAATCCTTATGTGTCTACACAGGTTTGATAAATTGAGATTTTAAATTTGTGCATGCAGTTTCTTTATGTGCCTAGTATATAACCGCTAACTTGTACCGCACATCAAACACACTGACTTCAACCATAGCACTGTTTGTGTACATATTTTTACCAATGAAACTGGAAACAGTATACACCTTGATGCTAGTTATTTACGTTACAAGCCTCTGTGCAATGAACAACACAAACACAGAAGGCACATGATGAACAACACCAATGCAATATGGCACACGATGAACTTTTTCTTTGTCAGTAGTCAAACATGTCACTTTACGTTAGGCGTTGTTTGTGTTGTTTAATTGCCTGTACACATGACTGAAGCGCCGTGTATGACTAAAGTGACTCGCGGTGCATGAAGACGGGATTTATACGGGAAAACATTAGACAATACCTCATCCTTCACGGTATCGTCCTGGGGTTATCTCCGTGTAACCATGGTGAAACGTATACGTTGAGATAACACGTATTACCAACTAACCATTGAAATGACAACACACGATATAAACACAAGACATAACAAACAATGTGACCAGTGATTTGTGTTTTAGTCACGCACCTTCATTGTGCACAGAAGATGTTGAAACGGGTAGATGTAGTGTAAGTCTGTAAACAAAATTCCTATTTGTGAGACAATAGCGTTATAATTTTCTGACTCCCGACTGTCCCGAACATTCCCCGACCCTTAGTACCATATCCACGACGCCCCCACACTGAATGTGTTACCTTCGTTTTCACGCACATGTTGGGGGATCAGGTTACATCACGCCCTACTTTGGACTATGTTTTTGTTTACTGGTTCACGCGTTGTGCTGTAAAATTGCATAATAGTATGGCTATACTGCATGGAGTAACAGCGCCATCTGGTTGATGTAAGATGGGTCGTGGGGAGTGATGTACACCTTTCAATCGTCAGCAAGCGGATATTTTCAACACATGGACAAAAAACAACAAAAACGCTTGGACAGCCAGTAATAATTTGTGTCCACAAGAACATAGATATTTGACAGGTAATTGTCGTTGTAGAAAATACAACATTATTCCAGAGCGTCTTATGTCATTCTGATTTCCTGGAATGAAGGAAGTATATGGAGCTCAACCAGCATCGACTCCCCATTATGCTGTTGGTTCATATTTTACGGACGCTTCATAAAATGCACAACTGTAACGTTCTGTCGTGACTTTAGCGTGAAGGAGAGGACTCCCGAGTCCTGTGCTACTAAACCCAAGCACGGTTGATTTTACCAACTGACCCTTCCAGATTAATTAGGAGATAAACATACTGTGATGGAAAATCAGAGGTATATAACGAAATTATAATAGCTCTAAATCTGTGTAATCAACTTACAACGTATGTAAGTATGACAAAACAATCTAATCAAGTATACAGGTAGACCATATTCATCTGTCAGTATATTTGTTGTTAACCCAGAGTGTGCACAAGTTAAAGGGAAAAAGGTTCACAATGTCCCGGTAAATAAGTCTGCATCCCTGTTAAAACAGACAGTCCACAATTCCCAGGTAAATGAGTCTGGAAATCAGTTATCTTGACAGCACAAATTTCAAGTACTGAAACTCCAAGCAGTGTTACATAATGGATGCTTCCAGATATTCATTCCAACCTGTGTAATCAGGAAAGCTGGATTGTTTAAATATGAGTTGCCTACAATGCTTGATCGTTCATCCACACACTCAATCACTGTGTGAAAATGGTATCACCAGTCCTTGAATATCTTTGTTGCATTCTGTCTGAAGTAAACTGATAACATCCACCCACTCAGAAAACGTTATCTTCAGCTACAGTATTTATGTCTTCTTCATTCAATGGTAAATGTATTTTATATGTAATTTCAAATGCAGATCTATGCCAAAACTCTTCTTCAGAAAGAATACACAATGACATTTGGAAGTTGTCAAAGGGAACCTGTTATATTTGGGATTACACTTTCTCAGCAAAGTACAAATTCAAGTACTCTTCTGAGTTCAGTTCCCACCCGCATTCGAACCCACACTGTCAGAGTGAGGCACCTACTACCTATACTCATTATTATGATCCAACATCCGTGCTTCAAACAGGTAACAATTAACATTGAGGTGTTCGGTAAGATAAATACGTTGTTCACTGGTCCCTCGGGCTCAGGGAACATAAACAAACATAGAGGGTACATCAACCCATGTCCCCCTCGGGACCAGTGAACAACTTCTGTTTCATTCAGTAATTCAGTCATAAACCATCAAGTAAAAGTCTTCTTTTTGTATGCATTCAAATGCGAGACGTCCAGCTGCATTGCTACACTAATGAACTTAGGATTGTTTTAAAGTGACAGCCCACTCAGATACCATGCAACAGTTTGAACACTGACACATGCAGACCAACAGATAGGGTGATAACAATTACAGACAAGCTTTGTTGTTTGTCACAGTGTTGAATCCATGAATCACATGTCTTCCAGTTGAAGTTACCCAGGTAATCATTTACATGTGCACAGGCCTTCAAACAGCTGAAACTTAAAAGTTTGTGCTTCTCTGCCATTTTGCAAAATAGCCTTTAACCTTGACCATCAAGGTTCAAGTTAGGTGAGCACTTGAGTATGTACAGTTTGCCTCTTGGCCACTGCATGGCCTTGGCGTACCATCTTGACCCTATCTGTCTTGCATAGTAAGTATTACCTACTATGTTGTAATGAACTTTGGTTTGACCTGGCATGTGATTGACCTCCTGACCTTCCACTCTCCAGATAGACAGATGCTCTGGTCACTAGACCATGGTGGTGGTCAGCGATAAAGAAATTTAACCTGAATCCATAATGACATCAGGGCTCTACATAATATTTTAAACCATTAAGTATTTCAATATGTGGTATTGATTATTTTTTTTAAAATCACTAAATGTTAACGCTGTGTCCAGTGTATTGTATACTTTTAAATCAATGAGTCAACCTTCATGTAAATTAATTATTTAAAATGTTCCGGTAACTCAAATTTACTTTTGCAAGTTACATCTGTGTACTAATTGAACATGTGTCACATAATCACAACACAGCACTGTCATTTATAGGCCAGGGTGCAACTCCTCAGCAGTGAAGATGTTATCAGCCCCTGAGTGACAAGACTGTAAGGGCTGTGGTAGTCTGTCTCACAGTCCCTGAACCACATTAATTTCCCTACTGCCAAGCCCTCTTTGCAGTGCTAAAGCCCTAAATAAAGCAAGTCCAGATTTCCCCAGGTTCTGAATCTCTGGTCTCACTAGGGCTCCTTTTCAATATAAATGGGCTTGTTTGTTACTATCAAAATTATATATATTCAGAGACTAAGCCTAAATCTAGGGCTGTAGGTGCCTGGCAAGAGCCTGGCGTGGCAATGGTTAACCTTGGAATTTACTACTAGAATAAACATGTGCCTTATAGTAAATGTCCAACAACCCTGTCACTACATATTTTGATGACTAAAGAGATTAATCTGATTAGCATATATGAAACATCAAATTTTACTTATATTCTGAATATACAATCTTCAGCAAAGAGATGTCAGCATCAGATAAGTGTACAACCCTTGCCCTGCACAGCATGGTGTCAGGGGAGCGGGGGGAGGGTGGCATTTTCCCAGCCTGCCTGAAATATGAAACCCTGAATGAAACATTTCCCCCCTCTCCAAGGCTTGTTTCTATGGAAACGCACCTCCTCTGGCCACCTGACTGACACAGTGGTAAATTCAAATCTGGATTTAAAAATGAGAAATATATTTTCAAAATGTATGTTTTGTAGACTCTCTGCATCCATTCGTTTTGCTGTGAGTCTTCATAACACATATGCTATCTAATATCAGCCTGAATACTATGACTTGAATATCAGCCTGAACGTTGACAAGGCAAAGCCACAATCTTTTAGGTTTGATATTTCATGGAATGTACTTGAATACTGCATGGCTTTGCCCATCATCAAAAGACAGCTTTGATTTTCAAAACTTGTTGAAGCTTACTGAAGGAGATCTTAAACATGCAATCGAGTATGAATAAATAGTCCGAAAAGTTGAATATTACTCTGTGTATAGGTTTGAACCCGCTGAATCAAGGTCAATTATGCTCTCAGATTTGTTCAAGATGACAAGTATAAACACTGCAGGCTAAGTAGTCAACAATATACATCATACACAATGGTTTCTTTCCAATTTTTTCAAACTTCAAATTGAGCAAAATTGAAAATTGTTACATAGTTCATATAAATATCAAAAGACAATACAAGTCAATTTAGAAATGTACATAGATATATCATGCGAAATGAGCAAGTACTAGGTGAAATAATACTAAAATATAATACTATTAATAAAATGAAAAATATGCTTGATTTAAAAAATCAGAACAATTACAAAATACACAGGAGCTAGTTAGCTACAGTAGGTAATTACAGCATACAGTGAAAGCCCTCTTACAAAACGTCTCCTGGAAGTAATGCATGCAGATATTGCCTTGGTCATTGTTTATCAGAACACAAACCGTTAATATCAAGAACTTGTTTGCATATTTTTTTTTAATATATTTTTTACCTAAGTATTTACATGAAGCATTTTCAAAAAAACATTAATCAAAAACTGTTTATGATAAAATGGCTTTGTTATGGTGAATATCATTTCTCGATGAGTACCAAATTGATGCATTTGTACACTTGAGGCCCTCAGCTAGTCAAAGATAAATTGAAACTCCTCGAATTGCTCTGGGACTGTGAGCCTATATTGCCTTTGCTTCCTTGAGCTGAATATTCTTCCGAAACATGGTATGTATTATGAACACATTTTGCTCGTCTCCACTACATTTCTGATAATCCTCATTCTGCAAGGGACAAATCTACCCTTTTGCTTGTCAAACATTCAAACTTCTAATCACCTTATCTACGTCCTTATTAAAAGCTTTGAAGCACAATCAACAAGAAGATAGCAGATTATTTGAAATGTTCAGTGATCTCAAAATACAGTTCACCATTTCCTTCCCATAATGCATTTTACTTCCCATGATACACCTCCCTCCCATGCATTTCCATCAATCTCACAATGCATTCTGGTCTCACAGGCGAGTCCTAAACCAATAATGCACTTGAGTTCATGCACGCTACTCTCGTTCATGATCCACAGAAAATAATAGTAGTTTGTACAAAATAAGTGTCCATTTGTATGGCTCAGTAGGTGAGAAGCTACAAAGTGTGTCTAGTCTAGCTCTGCTCTTGTTCACCGTCTTTCACGTCTGATTGCCACCTCTTTTTGTGTTGTTCTCGGCCAAAGCCCTCGTCATAATTTCCTTTGCTCTTGAAAAGTTGCATCAAGTGGTTGGTACAGTATATGATACCATTATTGGCGGCAAACGTTTTTGGCCTGAAAATATACAAGACAAAATCAGAACAGGTTCTTAAACATTTTCACAATTGATGAAATCAACACGTAAATTCAGCAATTATAGCTGCAAGGTAATGAACTCAAAATATTACTCAAGATATTATTGCAGATAATATATCACAATCACTATTGGGAAATGAAAAATATTTGCTAATATTATCATAATGTACAAAATGTACTTGTATTTTATATGTATATATATTTCTTCTGCATATAAAAACTTGGAAGTCTTATTGCCGATAACTGAGCATGCAGTCATTGCTGGACTGACGAGCTGCAAAAATCTGGAGGTCATAAATCCTTATATTGCCTGAAGTGGTAATAAAATCAAAGTTTATTAAACATAAAAACGTATATGACCTCATGTATGTTATACTTATATGTCACTGAACAAGGAAGGAAGCAGCTGGATGAGTAACACATTAAGCCAAAAGTTCTAGAAGTTATAATGTGTAGACTTCCAACATACAAGACTGCACAATACTTAAAGCTGAACTTCCTGCAAATAGCTTCAGAGAATCAGAAAACCTATCTCCTTCTTCTTCCAGTTTTTTCTAAATAACAATAATATGACCTACTAGGAGAAGAGGTACTGCAATATGCCAATCTTTTAATGAATGTTACCTAGCTGAAAAATTCTGATGCTATATTCATATTTATCAAACTTATTCAATCAATTTATAAGACAAATCAAAGATTAATTAGAATAAAGTTATATTGTGCTGATACAAGTTTCTACTTGGTAAACATGACAAGACTGTAGCACTGTGTGGAGATATGTATGCGTATGTCCATGTGTCCTGACATAGATTTGCCACCTGTGTAACTACACCGAGGCACCTATTGCATCAGCAGACGTCACTGCAGAGCTGCACCAAAGCTGGGCCGCAGCTAGCCCAGATATTTACCCTCTTGCTCGTATGTTTCCAAATGTATATATGTCAGAAATACTCAATTATTTTACTGTGACTGACAAATTGTTTTATTTATTTTTACCTCATATGTATGAACCCTCATATCATGATGCTGGATTGACACATCTATCATGTGGTGTTTGTGTTAAGACTGGCCAAAAGAAATATTTCATGTTCTGAAGGTATCCTTGCTATAGGTGAATATTTCTGTTTGGGACAAATTTCCTGGATAATGATGTTCATTAGATGAGTAGAATACTGAATTACTTCCCCTAGCTTGCTAGTAGGTAACAGTACTGTTCAACAATTAAATAACACAGATGAGGTGTCTTTCTATTCACCTTCCTTGCAGGAAGCAATTTACACTTGGCATTTCCCATCATCTACAAAGCTCACGCAGAGAAAACTATCTTAAAATTAGAAAAAACAGTCAGAATAAAATTTCCTGTAGTTGGCATTTGTATGTATGTATTTGAAAGTGGCACACATCTGTTATTGATGGCTGGCTGGCTGGATTGTGTTGTAGAGATGTGATGTTCTCATTGACCGAACAACTGGGAGGGTTCATTAACCTAGATCTGTCCACGCAATTGCAGCACAGAATTACACATTGCATCAGTCTTTATCTCTCTACACAGACATGTACAGGCAATAGATACAATTTCCATTAATTACTACCTCATGTCTATGTAAATATGTTTACACGATTAACATTTCCTTATTTAGTTCAATCAATGCCCCATACTTGTCGCTATCACACTTGAACATACATCAGGCCTGTAAATAATCAATACCTGACTTACCCAAACTATATCAGCACAGTAGAAGGTTATAACACTAACATTAACTATTTGGTGTAATTAACACCAACCATGCAAAATTAGTGAATTACTGTAGCCTGTTTCTATGGTTACAAACCTCTGAAAGCACTAATATGATGTCATGCTTTACAGTGTCATGCGGTAAAATGCACATTTATGCAAAAAAAGCAGAAGAGTGAACTTCATAAAACATAGTTTGAAATGTTATTTACAAACAATACAAACTATTGATAAATATCTTATTGAAAGGTATCAGATAATAATAATTATGCATGATCTAATTTACCTACACCAGTTTCCCTTTCAAGACTTTACCAAGTGTCTTTAGTGAACAACCTGGAAATACCGATCTCCTCATACCTGGTATGTGAAGCAGTTATTTCCATAAATAAGGAAACTGAATTAAATATAACATGACTGTTGTAAACAAAAATATCTTGATTATCAAGAGGTTGAGAGAACACAAAATATTGCCAAGATATGCACTAGTTTCCAGCTGACAGTAATGATGATGTGGATCAATGGTGGACAAGTCAGCAATCACAGCGGAGGACACGCAATGTTTGGCTTGGCAAGGTCTATATCTCATTCTCATTTATAGTACTTTCACCAGCTACCTTTTGGTTTCCATAGATACAAATACCTTTGTGGAGGCAGAATGTTACCAGCCCCAGTTCCAGCTGACTTAAGTGCCTGCACAGATACGTGCATCAGGTTGTCAGTCAGCTGGTGGGGTAAAGGGCACTAGGCTGTGCTACTACTGACTGACGACAACCACAAAGCTCATACCATCATATAGGGACATGTTATTACTCAAACAGCAAACAGGGGAAATACTCTATGAAAACAAGTCCGATCCACAAAGCGTTTGTAGCACTATGGTGTTTGTAAGTCTATCATAAACTATATAGTAACGATAACTTGTAATGCTATGTACACTCTGACGATCAGGACCCTCATATACCTGAATATATTCTGAAGTAAACAACTTCTAGCTTGTATGTTATAATAATACAGAAACAAATACAAAATGGCTCCTGCACAGAGTCATAGTGTTTTGTTACTCTCTTAAAGTCCAAAGACAGACTTCACTTTCTCAAATTTGAAGGTACGAAATTCCATTACGCCAGACCTTGCCATGTGTTGGCATTCTGCTTACATTAGATTTGTAGTAGTATTAAGAGGTCATGCACTTGTTAAACACAAGAAGTTACAATTGGCCAACACCACTGTAAAGATAACGTTTGTTTTGTTAATATGAACTTTCATTCCTTATATTCTGTAAATACACTTAAAGCAAACACAATTTTTTGTTCTGAAAACAAACCATGAATAACGAAATAATTTTTGTCCAATAATTTGGCAGACATGATAACTATGATAACTAATATTCTTGCTGCATGCAGTAACTGATAATATTCAACTGGCCTGAAACTACAGACCAAATAGCAATGGAAAAGGAAACCTAGAAGTCAACTGCGACTGGAAAACATAAATGTTTATACTTGTTTTCTAAATTTGATTACTTCTGCTGTTTTCTAAAACAAGCAAACCACGAGTATATGAATAAGGAAACTGCACACAGAGCAAGTTGACAGATTCGTGATATTGCTGTACCAACAGCCTGTATGATGGCAGAGAGATGTGGACGCACACAGACAAGCAACCCATGGTGGTGAGCAGACGGACACAGCCAGACGCTAGGGACCCACATGGACACTCCGACCACAGACACACTGACCACAGAAGGATTGCTGACACAACAGCATGCTGGCCAGCCCATTACCCAACAATACAATAATCAGGTTTGAGTGCATATCTTGGCATAGTTTCTGTTCTCATGCATGAGGATATGTCGTGTAGACAAACCCAAGTCTCTCACCTGCACCTGCTCATCTTGTGTAGTGCTTGTCAGTGTCAAGCTCATAATTTGTGCAGAATAGGTACAATTTCAAAACATCACTACTTCATTTAAAACCGTATTTGGAAGATGCTTTGGAAATTACTAATAGTTCCCAAGTTCATATTTGAATGAAGTGTAGGAAAGGTCTACTGCAATGATCCAGCGGTATTGACCTGATACTAGCACCCGACACTGCAAGACTCGATGTGCATCACAGACCTGGCAGACTGGGTTTGAACTCACGCACAGTTGTAACCATTGTTGATTTCTTACGTTAACTTTGATTTGCAGTGTGTGCATCTAAAGCAGTTCTTGTGGTATATCACTTTGTTCATCTCAAATTTCTCCATTGCATATACAGTTTTCTGGCAAGCCCCGCATTTGTCCGCTGGCGTCGTTGGAATGAAAAATCCACCCTTTTTTTTCGGTGTTGCTGCTTCCTGCTAGATCAAATTAGTACAAACAACAACATGGGAATTAGTTAGAAAATTATGAATAACGCAAGCAGGTTGTCAAATCATTCGGACAACAAGAGCAACAGAACATAATTGTCAGCCAGAATGCACATAACATCTACATACATGCAATGCATGCTGGGATACTGACATGCTTACATAGCTTCAAATATACGATAACAACTCTGTGACCTGTCAGTCTCACTATCACTGGAAACAGTTATCAGTGTCAACAATACTTGCTTTACCTATCAAATTCTAATCAAGTGTCAATTACTTCTGACCTAGTGGGCGGAAAATGGCTCGCCCAATCATGTGACAGGATACTAGTCTATTTCGGGATGAGTGAAAAGGAAAGCTACACCTCATTACTGGCGGCCAGCTTCTCCAAGTAAATGCAGCCAGCATACAGTGCTTTATTTTCAAGTTTCCTTGTTTGTTTTTTTCCATTTTTTAAAGTGGGAAGGGTTGGGCCAGATTTAATTGAAAAAGCAAAATAACAGATCCTCGTGGCAATCAACCTGACATCTCATGCCATTCCAAGGCTGACAAATCAGCTTGTTAAACTTTAAAGAGTTACAGAATTTAGTCTTCGTTTAACCTTCGGCCTGTTCCACTGTGGCGATCAGGTAGCCTCAGGCACATGGCTGTCCATGTGCAGATCAGGTATCGGGCAGGGTTGGAATGTCAAATTGTCCCAGTAAAGACAGCTTTAAGTCTTGGGAGACACCATGTCAGGGTGTGCTGTAGGTTCTGGCAGAGTTGACAGGTAACTGCAGACCACTCCCACCTGTGAAACTCCTTCAGTCAGGCTTTCTTATTGACATGGATTACATCAAGATGACTGTCTCAGTAGGTGGGCGGGAAGACACAGAATTACTCAATTATTTACACACCTAATCAGCCACACATTATTGCTTGCATGCTTGGCGTTGGTACAGGTGGTACAAACCAAACCAAACCAAACAACTACAATTCATTCAAGAAAATTGAAGTAGTTCCTTCCTGTACATGATTGTCAAGCCATTTCCCCCTTCTAAGCAATCATAATATAGGCATGTAACTCAACATTTCACCTATTATATAACCACAAGATAAAAATAGGACATATATCATTGTTTAAGCAAGGAAAATTACAATTTAATAACAACTGAAAAATATATATTTATGAGAACAAGATATTATATATATGTGTAATGAGTAATGATAAATGAGTAATGATTATTATAATACATTAGCAGGGAGAGCAATGTTAGGCATTCAGGGCAACCAGCATATAGTCAGGTTTCGGCACTGGTCCAATGAGAGGTAAATCTTGGCTTGAGTTGGCCCTGGATTGCTACACTGTTCTCCCTGTACGATGGCTATGTTATGTGTCATGCTATTAGTACAATCACCCAGCTGCAGCTGGCCACTGTGGCCACTGTGACCACCACTACATCAGCTGGTGTCATGCAACAACCTCACACACATGCAGCAACCATATGTGGCACAGTCAATTCAGCTGTTTCCAGTTAGTGAATTTACCTCTACATATAGTTAGTTGTGATGAAGTAGTAGCAAAACTGCCGTATCAAGTATCTATTAACATGACCAAGATTATCCCATCTAACTGTATTTAATGGATTTTTGTGTAAACCAACAACAAAAGAGATTATAATAGTAGTTCAAACACAAGGGTCTGAGTGACCTTGGCAGATAGGGTCACATGATCCACTGACATCAGAGAGACAAAAATGAAACCTCGCCATGATAATAGACATACAAAGGTCAACCAGCCAATCTGTTAGCTCTGCTGATAATTAGATTTTCCTTTTAACCACTGATGTAAATTTCAGCTTGTTATCAAGATAAATGCAAGATGCAGTATTATTTAGAGACACATGGGCTCCTTGATGTAACCAAATTTCCAAAGATGTATAGCTGAGACTCCTTTCTCCTCCTCCCGAGAAGGCTGCTGTCCCTATCCGTGGTGCATGTTTCACGTTAGTAATGTACTTCACAGACATGCAGGGCTTTTTGTTGTTGCTGCCTGTCTAAGCTGAGTTGTGATCCACCATAGCAATGTTGACAACATGACAAACAGACTCATGGACAAAGGACAACAACAGACAAGGTCAAGGTCACTGTACGACGTGCATGTATGATGACATCCTTTCTTTTCTGTTTGATCATAAGTTTTAAGTCACTGAATCCTGCCTAATTTGTTAGTATGTTTAACAGCTACTTAATAATTGACATTCTTATCCTTAAATGATCACATTTTAAAAGTATTTAACTTAATTTCTATAGATAAACACAAAATATTAGTAAATGAATACACTAACTTTCAAAATTTTATAGCTCTAATTAGATATACATCATGATCATCACCAATAATGAAGCCTATTTCAATTCACAGTTATGAAGTTTAAATGTTTTAATTTCTGAATACATCACACTCTCTGATGAAGTGATAAATATTTCTGATATGTCAAGCCCATTTCATCCACAAAGGTCACACAGGAAAGGACAATCAGCTTAAACTAAGTGGCATATGCATCGTGTACAGTATCCGCCAGTCAAGAGGGAGTGACTCATACATCGCTGAATGTGCAACCACCGCCAATCCCTGACCATTGGCTGCAGTACACTTTTCCCGACCCCCAACGTAAGCCATCATTTCCCCTGTATGTTTGCAGATTACCAGTCAGGCAAATTCCACATTGATTTTCCTTTCTCTATCCTCCAGATACGAGGACAACATAGCATAGTTCCATAACACGTAATCAGCTTAATACCACCATCATCCAGTGGAGTGGACCCTGAATAGATCTTCCAAAAACACCATGTTTACCATGTTCTATGGGCATGTAGGTTGTACTACCAAGTAGCTCCGTCAGTACTCGCTACAGCCCTGGCAGCAGCGTTTATGTGCATGTATTGACCATGAGTGTGCTTCACATTGGAATATCATTCCTACTGGTAGTTTTATTTCCTGTTGCTTATTGTGTGGCTGTGACTGGTGAATATGTCACTCACAAAGGAGTCTGTCGGGCTGCTTTAACTCTGTTTAGGAAGACTTTTATAAGGTCACAACCGGGCCATTCCTCTAGGGCAGGGTGGGTTACTTATTCCAGGTGAAAAAATCAGTCAGCCAAGACAGTGATGGGATATAAATGTTTAGCTGAACAAAAGGGTGTGTGTAGTGTACTGGGATCGGATGATATCCGCTGCCATTTCTTATGAAGCAAAGGGAATTTGTTCACAATGCTGACACGCGCAAGTTGTTATGGTGATGTTATGCACTTAGTGATCTATTATTTCACATTTCTCAACTCTGCCACAAAGTGAGTCACGGCAGAACATGTCTGAATCTGACAGATATGGTCTTCTGACTGTATTTACATACGAATGTAGATAGTCCTCCATGCAGGATATTGTGGTGGGACTTTATATTGAATCGCATTTAAAAAAATGTTCAATGAAATCAGCATCACAAGATAAAGACTAACACAACAACACCCAATGTTTTACATAGATACTCTGCACTTTGAAACAGGAAGTCACTGAAGCTCATATAGGTGGAAATTTACTGATAAACTGTTTTCCTGTGAGCTTGTACCATGCACTGCTTGGTACATCTGATAACGTGTTCACACATTCACTTTCCGAGAAACACAACCTGTGTCACACTAGCGTGTTTGCTGTATAACAGGTTGAGGACACCCTTATAATAAATTCCAGTTTTACTGCTACACGTATAGTCTGACAAAAGTAATTGTTGGATATTGTTTTCATTTGTTGTCAGTGAATAATTGCTGTTTCACTATGGTGTCCTACAACACCAGCGTCTGCAGGGATGTCGTGGGTGGATTGTGGACAGATAGCAACAGGAATATAGGACAAGAAGCAGATCCATGTATACATGTTTGTCCGACTGGCTGGCAAGCTCATAACACATTATTCTGGCTTTAATATTCTTAGGGCTAATTTGTCCTCAACATTTCAATATACCAATGGAATGGCCTGATGTTACACGACGTACACACACTGATTGGAGCTTACTGATGGGCCTTAACCTTTTATATAGGAGGCTTTTAGATACTTGTGATATCAATATATATATCCTCTTTGGTAGAATATAGTATATCAAATACAATGAACCAATACTTATCAGTTGCTTTACACAGAACCTACTGAACTAGTGAATATTAGTTTGGATGTCAAGTATTTATTCTGGCCAATGACAGAAACGATGAACAATATGTTTACATTGACTTGTTAGAATAGGAATCCTGATGATACAACTCAGAGCGATCTGGCAATGTTTCAGGAACCAGCGTATATAAGAATCTTAGTCATCTCTTCTTGCAGAGATCAACAACTCACACTGTCGTCTGCTTCAGGTGGGTCAACCATGAGTCAGACAGAGGTGGCTATGACAAACCATTCCCAACTACTGATCAAACAGAAAAGTGATGTCAGATTGAAACAAATTGTTAGAACCAAAACCATAACAGGGCTTGAATTAGACTGAATAAACAGGCCCCGTATTGTAACAGAACCTCAATCTACTGGTTAACTGCAAAATAAACATGGTGAACCGTATCACACAGATGTTTAGGAGAATGATGCAAACATGATTAGGCTAACATCCTTGAAAATGAAATCATACATATGAAATTGTGAGATTTCATGAGTAGATGTGGTATGAGTCTTATAAGTAACAATGCCCAGTGTATTCATTTGTATAATTCAAGCCGAGTCATGCATCCATGTTAATCTCTGGGTACAGCGGACGCTGTCTGCTGTTGTTAGTAAAACTCTACCTAAAACACCTAAAGCAGACAACACAACAGAAACAGATGAAAGGGAGAGATAGTATACGTCTACATGTACGTTTTCTTTTGCATCGTCAGGCACACCATTATCATACGTCATTGAGTCTGTATCGGAAGGGGTACTCAGACAAACCTGTGTCACTTCATTTTCAGGGGATTGTCTATCGCCATCCTCCTAAAAGCAGATTGTAATTTCATTCAAGAATTTGGTCTTAATATTTGTGAGAGAGACTTTGTCAGCTTGTCCAGAAGCAACGACATAAAATATGTCTTCATGAATGACACAAACGGATGAGAATTTTGTGTATCTGACTCCTATTGAGTCCTGCGATTCCAAAAGGAATGTGTGCCCTGTACATGTCATGGTGACCTGGCTGGGAACAGAGGCAGTAAGTGTAGGGAGCAAGCACACATTCTAGGGATTCACTGAAGTTCAGACACCTTGACAGTTCAGACAGCATGACAGTGAAACACACTGCCACTTGGGAACACCATCAACTACAATAATGCAGTCATTAACATAGATTAGCAAGAGAATTAAAATTAAACATGTCTATAAATCCAGTGTCATCTCTGCAGCATAAATACATAAGCATTATTTCCTCAATTTAGGATTTTCTATATGTGGGTTGATATACTCATAACATTTTATTGAACATAGAACTTAATTTACAGTTTATTGTCTCCTAATTAAGGATATTTAAAAATATATCAGGATGATATCTGGTCTTATCAACAGAATTATCCAGTGATATGCGTGTACGTTACATGATGTAAGTTCGCCCACGTGTAGGTCAGACTCATCTCATCACTCTGGTCCTGTGACCTGTGTGACTGACAGGTGGGGAAATCAGGGATGAAAACCATGTCAGTCAGCAGTATGTGATCTTCCATGGACTACTGGGGTCTGTTTGTACAGTCACACAGACTACGTCAGAAAGATAAATTGTTACACGGCAATCTGATGACCATCTAATCTGCACATCGGATCAGTGTCAAAATATACCACATTCACATGCCCTCCGACAGCAAGTCCCAGTTCCTTTCCCTCAATTCAAATTATATCTCATCTTGCAAGTTATTTAGTCCCATGGGCTATGCTTAAATTTAAATCACATGACATATTGAAAGTTATTTAGTACCATACTCTATCCTTCAATTTAAATCACATGGCATATTGAAAGTTATTTAGTACCATATTCTATCCTTCAATTTAAATCACATGGCATATTGCAAGTTATTTAGTACCATATTCTATCCTTCAATTTAAATCACATGGCATATTGAAAGTTATTTAGTACCATATTCTATCCTTCAATTTAAATCACATGGCATATTGCAAGTTATTTAGTACCATATTCTATCCTTCAATTTAAATCACATGACATATTGAAAGTTATTTAGAAAGTTATTTAGTACCATATTCTATCCTTCAATTTAAATCACATGGCATATTGCAAGTTATTTAGTACCATATTCTATCCTTCAATTTAAATCACATGGCATATTGCAAGTTATTTAGTACCATATTCTATCCTTCAATTTAAATCACATGGCATATTGAAAGTTATTTAGTACCATACCCACTTTTCAATTTAAATCACATGGCATATTGAAAGTTATTTAGTACCATACTCTATCCTTCAATTTAAATCACATGACATATTGAAAGTTATTTAGTACCATATTCTATCCTTCAATTTAAATCACATGGCATATTGAAAGTTATTTAGTACCATACTCTACTTTTCAATTTAAATCACATGGCATATTGCAAGTTATTTAGTACCATACTCTATCCTTCAATTTAAATCACATGACATATTGAAAGTTATTTAGTACCATACTCTATCCTTCAATTTAAATCACATGACATATTGAAAGTTATTTGGTACCATATTCTATCCTTTAATTTAAATCACATGAAATAAAGACCTTATCTGATTCCTCACATTTTCCAACAAACAGTAAGTGTGAAAGTCCACATTTCCAAATGCACAGGCCCCAATTGTGTCAGTCTCTATTTTTATCAAAGGTTATAGCTTAATAAATAGTTATTGACCAGTAGTCTATTCAGATTTGAATCTAATCCTAAATATTTACTTGCCCAATTTCAAATGACTGATTTATCATTTGTAACTTTGAAATGTGAAAAATATAAAAATGCAGCCATAAAGATTTAAAGAGCCTTAAGGGCTGATTGATCTTCTTTTTCATCGATTAACATTAATCAAACTGGATTATAGCATTAACCCAAGGAAGTTATATTTTCCCCTTAGGCCATACCTTTTCCATGTGCACTTTCCTCATGCAAGTATCATACATTTGCCACATTTAACAAAATCTAATCCCTCCTAAACAAGGCACATTTACTTGTATCACTAGAATCTGGGCTTCTGTGTAGGTCTGACCGACAAAAGGATATTTCAGGATAGTTTGACTTCAACTAGTTTCAGAAAAGACTGGCAGTCACAAGACTCATCAAATGACCTCAATGAACTCTCGATAGCCTCTGTTAGTCAATACTGTTTCTGGTAACTGGAAATGTTTGACATGCAGGTGAACATTTTTTTTACATTTTACTTTAATTAGGTCTCTACTTATTATTATATCCGGTATCCAGTTACTAGTGTCTCTGATTATGTGAGTAACGCCACATCAAATGGGGGTTTGTTGTCTGAGGTTGGTATCAGCAAGCACCTGCTTCCCGTCAAGATTATTTCCTTCCTATGTTTCAGTGCTTGTCCTCTAACTATTGGACATGTACAACAGACACATCTCCAGAAACGTACACTAGAATGACACATTTGGAATGTCACTTGAGCATAAAACAACACAAAAAACAACAACTATCATTTAGCTTACTTGCTACAGCCCACTCTGGGTAATGTTTAACTTTGCTTGTTTGGTTCATTCTTTAATGACTGACTGTTCTCGGAAGAATCATCAGGTTTTCTAATCCTAGCATTGTGGTGAAGGAGCCATTTACAATCTGAAAATATTCGTTTTGAAAAAAAAATTGTTTCTTTTAGCATTCAGTCTGAATGAATGCATGATGTGACATTTGCAGCTTGACAAGAGATCCGCTAAAGACATCATCCGCCCAAAGAATGTTGGCCCACATCCATAAACTGACTGTTTAAAACTTCAATAAAACTTGAGACACATCTTAGATCTTTTTCTGGTACATGATAAGCTGTGGGGAAACTCGAAATCCCCTCAAATGCATACAAACTGGGATGAAAATCTGCATCTAAAATGTCAAGTTTACATTCAAGTCAAGACACTGGTACTGAACATACGCCCTCTTTTCATCACACATGTGCAATCTGCCATTAGATCAAATTCCCTCACCTACAAGGGCCCATCCCATACCTTATATTGCATGAAGGCTATCAAGGCTAACAGAGTCCTTTGTCATATTTGAATAATTAACTGAGCAAGGTGATACTGGTATATCTGGCTTGGTTTGGACCAGCTTTTGCAGGTATCAAGTGTCTGCCCCAGTCTGTAGAATCACATGCTGTGTTACTTCAAGTGCAGCAAGGTCACAGATGGTGGTCAAGTTACACACCATTTGAACAACAACACATTCCAATAGATTGGGCCAGAACATGACTTACCATCTCGTGTACATTAATTATGTCCCTGATTAATTGTTAATATTTATCATGAAAACAATTGTTTGCATACTCTATATATTATCCATATATCTAATACAATAAAATTAGTGATTGGTTTATATTTGTTTATTTGGATTACAGAAATTGAATCCTATCAAAATATTGTGAACTATTTATACATTCAAATGACACAAATATTTCTAACATGGATATATATTTAGTGAGATGACACTGGAAATATAAACAACTGTGGTAAATAATACAAGTAAATCACAGCTTTTAGAGGCAAGCTGCAACCAAGAAATGATTTGAAATAAGTTCAGAGCCAGAGCGCTCTGATGCTTGAGTAACTAGGATTGTCGTTCGTGCTACAACTGCAGGAAATATATACCACCACCTCCCCCAACCACTGCCATAGCCAGCAGCAGGTGGCAGACACAGAGCTATCCTCCTTCCCTTCCCACAAAGGGAATTCCAGTCCAATACCTCATGTTCATCCATTGACTAACACACACTATCAAAAACAACTGAGGCATAGCGAACATCGATCAAATTCACAGATGCATTTAGCTCTGTCTGCAACAACTTGCTGTCTGCTAAGCCCTGAGAACGGAGGCCAATGGTGTTTGGAATATCATGGCAAATTCCCTAGTGCCAATCTCCAAATATGGTGAGTGGGAGAAGCACTCTAAACAAAGATGACAGCTCAACAAAAGAAAGTGGCAGCATGCAGTTGATGAATCATGGCCACCAAGATACTAGTCCCTACTGTGTCTGAACTTCAGTGATAATATCCTAGAAATCAGAACAAACTGGTTAGAAACAGTGTTTAGCAGTCTTGGTTAGGCCTACCTCCATCCTGTAGCTCGTCTCAAACTGAACTGGGCCAGTGTCAGTTTTGAAAACAGTGGCAAGCAGGCAGACTATTTATAGATCAATGGAGTCTGGAGATTTTTCCAGGGGAAGTAACTCTGATGTTGAAACCCTGATCTGGTGATTTCTTATCTGGTTATATTATGATAAATAGGTCAGACCAGACCTGTTAGCTTTTGTATATAATGTCAAGAATTTTTTTTATGGAAATAGAGCAAGGAAATAATATTCATATTATCAAATATATAAACTTACTACAATTCTAACAAAAATTAGGAAGGGAATATTATTTGTACTTTCATAAAATTCAATTATAAAACAGAAATTATAACCAAGACTGCAAACAAAGTCTAAAATGACCAAATCTGATAAACTGAAATAACTCAAATTATTCTGACAATTTTATTGCTGTTTCAATTTGAATTTAGACTGAATTACCCAAAAAGGAAAACAAGCCTATCTTTATATTTACTAAAATGTTTATGTTACCCCAAAACTCTTCCCTACAACAAGTGAATTCACAAAAGGTCAATAACCTAGTTCAGTTCAGTAAGACTGAACATGATAATTCCCCAGATATTGAAACTACCTGCTGTTTTGGTTTGAATTAACTCCTCACCCAACCCTGCCCTAAAAATAAATAAATAAAATCACTATTCCTAAATACGTATTCAGATTAACTGAGTTTAACAGACTTTAGATATTTATACTGTCAATAATTTAATCTACTTCTACACAATAATTCAATGAACCCCAATCTTGACTTAATCCAATTGAACAAAGCAGTATGAAAGTGGGCAATGACAAAATATTCACCCCAACAAACATTATAAACCACCTCACACTTTGCAAACTGGCATTCAACTGAGCTCAAGATGAATATGTATTCTGTGAAATGAAGTTGAGTTGTTCGAAGTGTCATGAGTATATAACTCCATCTGTTACCAATGTGAAGGAACACACCCACACAACAGCTGCAGGGTCACTATGGTAACAGATGTAGGAAGATAATCATCTAAATATACACTGTCAAGACAAATAATGAAATATTGAAATATACCAAACAAAAACATTAATAAATTCTGAAAGAATAATGAAGGAATTATTGTTTGTTTTTTTCGAGGTTAAAATATACAAAATTAAGCTTGTGAAGAATGTGCAGCTTGCTGTAAGTGCTTGGCTGGTAGCTTGGTACACACGCATTATATGGACACGCGGGGCCACATATCACACACAAGATCACATATCACACGCAAGGCTGATAATGATAGAATGTTTGATTGATGATAATCAACGTGATATCTGTACCCAAGTTTATAGCATGACTGGACACATTGTATCCAACTCAATAGCATTCTCTCTCTCCACTCATTGAGAGTGTTCCATTTGTGAAAGTGCCACACACCTTCCTAGGGATGCAACACACCAGATATGTCATCACACCCTTTCATCACCAACTCATAATGAAATGAAAGACCAAACATATTTGACAACAGAATCCAGTTACTGCATGAAAGAAAAGTTAGGAAAACAAGATAGCCTTGGAAATGTCCTTGTACAGAATGGTACTTGGGGCACCTTGCAGGAAAATGACACCTTGGATATTCTTGTCATCACAAAAAGACAACAAAATGGAGCTTATAATTAATTTTTATAACAAAGACACTCTCACGTAGACTGCTTTTTAAAATGTTTTGGTTGTCAAATATTCTTAGTTTTCAAATCATTATGATAAATAAAAGTATAGTCAAAGCTGAAACAAAATAATGTCAACCTTGTTCCTTCTTGTAGATCCACTGTCATGCAGTCCACAACAAACTGTAAAAGTAACATGTCAACACTCCAAACTAGCACAGCTCCATCAAGTCATGCAGCATTCCTGGCAGGAAAAAAAGTATTTCAAACACAAAAACGAGGCAAAAGAAATAATTCTAACTCCATAAAGACAACATTAAAATATTTTCTTACCTTTCGAGAGACAGGCATTGGTTGTTCTTTCACTGCTTCAGCTTGTATGTTCTTGAATTTGGCTACCATTTTCTTGGCAGCATTTTCTTTTGGCATACCCTCTGTCCAATCTGTCTGTGCTTCACTGACAACATCTGTGCGTACCTCTGGCTGATTCTCAAACACGCCTGGTTCCACCTGTTGTTGGTACTGGCCTGGCAGGTCGTTAGGATTGACACTCTCGAACTGACCTGCCCCCGGGGAGAGCTGGCCTCGGAGTGCCTTCACACGCTCTTCCTCTCTGGGAGGGGTGAACTCCTTGGTTCTGACTCCAGAACCAGGACTCTGTTTCCCACTCTGACTTTCAACTTGCTTCCAGTGGGACACCAAGTTCCTGGCAGTACCACGTTCAGGAAGTTCTTCTCCATATTTTGCAGGATCAGTTTCCTTGGCAACATCACTTCGGACTTCAGGATTGTTCTCAGCAATGCCACTATCTATCTTTTGGTTGTAGTCGGGAATAAATTCTTGTGGCTGGTTCTCGAAAACACCAGTTTCAGATCGTGGTGGAGTAATGCCCCTACGGTTGGAGACTGCTACCTTGCTGTTTTCCTGTTCAATCTCCTTGAATCGTGAGACAAGATTCCTGGCATAACCTTTTTCTGGAACAATCTCATCAACTTGGGCATTCTCACTGATGACATCAGGTGAGGTTTGGGGCTGACTCTCGTAGACACCACTCGAAATTCCCTCTCTGGGTGGTGTGATTTCCTTCACTCGGTTTGGGGTAGGTGGAGGGGACTTCATGTTATGTTCCATTTCACGGAACTTGGAAGCAACATTTCTGGCAAACCCTCTTTCAGGAAGTGGTTCATCTAATATGTCTTCACTCCTCACGACATCAGATCGTTCAGCTGGCCTGTTCTCAAAGACTCCTGCCTCTGCCTTGCCCTCATACATCTCAACATGAGCTCTAGGCTCGCTAACATATTCTCCTCTTGTGTTTCTGTCAGGAGTTATCTCCCTTTTGCCCCTTGCTGCAGAGGATGGTGAGCTCTCCATCTGCTTGAAGCGCTGAGCAATATTCTTAGCTGAACCTCTTTCTGGCAGAATTTCTTCAACCTCTTGCCCAGATTTGACAACGCCCTCGTAGTCTTGTGGCTGGTTTTCGAAAATGCCTGCTTCAGCCTTTCCTTCGTACCTCTCAATGGTTGCTGTTGGCTCAGAGACAAATTCAACCTTCCCAGTGGCTCTGTCAGGAGTAATCTCCCTTTTCAAAGGTGAAGATCCAGTGTAACTGCCAGTTCCACTTTCCAATTGCTTGAATTTTGATGCAATATTTTTGGCAGTTCCTCGTTCAGGCAGTGGCTCACTTGTGCTGTCAACTGATCTGACGACGTCTGGATTAATTTGGGGCTGACTTTCAAAGATTCCTGCCTCAGCTTTACCTTCATACACTTGAATGTGACTTGCTGGCTGACTTTCGTATTCAATTTTTCCAGCTCCCTGGCGCGGAGGAGTTACCTCCCTTTTGTAATTTTTTGGCTCGCTTGCAATCTGTGTGAATCTACTGAGAAGATTCTTTGCCATGCCAACCTCAGGAAGTTCTGCTCCAATATCTCGGTCACTTTCACGTGCGACATTATCTAGACGGTCTGGTTGGTTCTCATAGACACCTTCTTCTTCCTCCTCCCAACCAATGTTCTGTGACTGGGTTACGTTAGTTGTCTGCTGCGGTCCACCAGATTCAAAAGTGTTCCTCACTGAAGACATCTCAGTGAAATGTACCTGAAAACAAGTGTGAATAGAAAGTAAGTCATTACTGAGCACAACAGGACTACAATCACAGCAAGATTGGGCTGCTTATGAAGTTACACTCAGTTTTCAAAAGGACTGCTGGACTGATGTGGCTTTTCACCATAGATCTTAATGTCATGTAATTTGTTCATCATTTTGCCCTAATAACTGGATGAGCAAAGAGGTGTTTCAACTACTTAGGATGCATTTATCCAATGTGGTCAATATATATATATACCGGTATATATGTATGTGGACAGAGAGACAGACAGACACTGTAGATGAAGTACACAGTACAGATACTGGTATATCTGAAAAGTTAGAAAGACAAGTAGCAGAAGTACTTACATCTTCTCGGTCTTGTGTTTCCCGGGCAACATTGGAACTGTAGCCATTCTGCTGGGCAGATCCACCGCTGAGAACACAGAAAGGAAAGTTGTCAGAATTGTTGTATCGGGTGGTCAGGCGTGCTAACTTGGTTCGTGCATGTCATTGTTTGCTCATGATGTCAGTCACTCAAGACTCAATTGTATTATAGTTCTAATATTGCTGAGAGCGGTGATTAACCAACACACAGAAGGATGTCAGTGGTGCCCTGACAAACAGCAGTTACAGTGAGTGAGTTTGGTTTTACGCCACTTTTAGCAACATTCTAGAAATATCACGGCGGGGGACACCAGAAATGGACTTCACACAATGTATCCATGTGGGGAGTCGAACCCGTATCTTCGGTGTGACAAGCGAACGCTTTAACCACTAGGCTACCTCACCGCCCCCAGCAGTTACAGAAGGATGGTGACAGTCAATCAACACACTGATGGTGACAAGCAGCCACCCCACTAATACCCAGTTTAGTCACCTCTTATGCAGAGTAGTAAGTACTAGAGGCCTGTCCTGCCTTAGAAACTCCATATGGTCCTGTTCAATGATATTATCATGCTAATAGTGTACAAAATAATAGGTGCATTTGACTGATTGAGCAAAAGTTACCATCAGGTCAACACAGAAAGATAAACAGTTGAGATCAGGTATCAGGTCAGAGGTTAAAGTTCACAATCTAAATTTAAGACATAACTGTCATTATTCTCATAAATATTATCTCCCAGAGTGGATATTCCTGGTAGGTGTTTAATTATATATGAAAAGTTCTTCTTTACCTATCATAATTTGTCACTTTATGAGCTTCAGACAGTAGAAAAGACCCAATATTATTATTGATATCTGGAAGAAGGTTATCTAAATATTTGAAGCCTTAAAACTGCCTGTGTTATTCAAATATGCTCTTCTAGGGTGCTCTGTATCTGTTGATATGCAAACATCATAATGACACGAACAATACATGTGTTTAAAATCTTAATGTTCTCACAAAAAAATCAAGTCGAGTTTAAGCTCCTAAAAAAGCCTTTGTCCTAAACATGAGGCTGAGAATTTTCTTAAAAAACCAAAGAAAACTACATTGTTTAGAAACACCACAATAGGCATTAGCAGGAGACCGGACCAGTGTCTACAACAGTTGGTAGTTCCCGAAACTAAGACAAAAGTGTGGTTTGCGGGGAGGGGCGAGGAGTGGCTCAAGACAAACAGTACTCACCCCATAGACTGGACGGTAACCTCTCTGACCACCCTGGAGTCGCCTTGGTCACCAAATGAATCTGAAACACAAACCAGACACTGACCATACTCGTATTGACTCAGGTACGTTTCTCTAAACAAACTGACCCAAACATCTTTTGTCTTCACATTTGTCCACTAGCTTGCCAACAAAGGGATTCACTGTTTCAATCTGAAACAACTGGAACATTTCTCGCATTCCAGAAGGAGTGAATGATGAAGTGTGAAGTCAGGTGAACGTGTGATGACCAAACAACATTCAGATACAAGGTCAATAACCATCACAAACATCCAGTAATCCATTGACTCAGACAATCAATTTAACAACTGCAGCGGAAATAATAACATTATATCTCTTTAGGTCAACAATTGGATACCACATACATATTTCAAACAAAACATGTGGCAGAAGTCCAAGAAGGAATTGAAGCTTACAACAATGATGACTTTTACAAAAAACAGATTATCCAATAATTTATAACATACACAGATGTGTATATGCTGTTGCCGAGTTAAGGAGATGTGTATCAGCGGCCGTGAAACCACAGAACAGTTACGACTACTGAAAACACATGTTGAAGCCTACACTGTTCTCACCTCTGCCTTATCAAAATGTGAACTCGGCCCATAACGAGTATCTTCTTGTCAAAGAGTCAAACTCACTAGCTAGTCCAACAACTTCTGCTGTTAAATGGCAGGAATTGTGAGTCAAGACATTCTCAGAAAGCAAACAATTTAAGAAGGTCACATTCTTGGGGGCATAAACCTGGGCAACTGGGTCACAATTTGTGAAAATCAATATTCTGTTCCCCGGCACTTTCCCTACTGGCACTGAGTGGAAGGTCAAGGCAGGAGGATTGTATGAGAGCTTCCGTGAGTATCACACTCATTGTTGTGATGACATGAAGCACTATAAAATCTTCTATACAGTGGCAGACCATAAGAAATATTGACCTGTCCTCCGAGTGAGAGTGAGTTTGTTATTGCTTTGAACAGTATTTCCTTAATATCATAGCATGTCAGCTGAAACTGGAGGAGACCAAGAAGTGATGTAGGTCTTTAAGACTTTTGTGAACTCAGTGATTATGGTGTTAAGCCAAGAAACATGATGACACAGTGGGCCACATACCTTGCGTCACACCGACATACATGTACAATCAACAAGGTCACACTGGTGTGGTTATATCACCACACCAGAGAATTCTTATAGAAAACTACTTTCACAATCAATGTCGAGCATTTGAACCAACTATAGATGTATTTACAACTACAGGCCACAAGATGTAAAGTTGCAAACCTCACTGGCATTCAAAATGTGATATCACCAATTCTGGTGACACCAACAAGCTAAAACTAGTTTCTCTCATCTGAAACTGTGACATCTCCTTTAAAAATCCCTTAAAAATCTCATATAAACACAACTGATCATTATCTTTACACCATTATGTTTGGTATGGCAGAAAGAAGGTAGACATTGCTGTGGTTTTGATCTGGTGCTCTCACCTGTAGATTCAACAGTACAGTGCCTTTGCCCTAAAATTATGTTAGTACTTTACAGGTGACACTGCTTTACACTAAAAAGACCAAGCATTTTGAACAAGCGCATTGTTCATGCTCACAAGTGCTGCCAGCTGAATTCGATAAAACAACCTGAGGTACTGTTGGAATCAATGGTTTCTATACAGCCATGGAGAATAAACACTCTAATAATTCTATAATCAATGAGAGTTAACCTTCACTTGGTGGACGAGGAAACAGCTTAGAGCTGCAACATCCATCTGTACTCTTGAAAACTTGCCACACATACAGAACAACCAAATCTTATTCTATTCTTAGAGAGGCGGTGGGGTAGCCCAGTGGTTAAGGCATTCGCTCATCACGCCAAAGACCCAGGTTCGATTCCACACATGGGCACAATGTGTGAAGCCCATTTCTGGTGTCCCCCACCGTGGTATTGCTGGAATATTAGTAAAAGTGGTGTAAAACTAAACTCACTCACTCACTCTGTTCTTAGTAAATTCTGATAGGTATCATTCAGTTCTAGAGTTTTAAAAAAGTGTTTCTGTTTTATTATCTTAATATGCAAGTCATATATCTATATACAAAACAACCTCATGGAAATATATATAAATATTTATTTTTTTTCCTTTTCTTTACTTTTACTTTACTGTTACATCTCCCCATGCTGGCTGGGTACTGTTGTCACAGGGTCTACTGTCCATGGTGGGTTAAGTACTGTATTGATCTGACAATTGTCTTTAAACTTTCATGCTTGAACACACATACACATCGATCAATATTTACTGGAAACAGTCCTCGCTAATTTCATGTCAAGTACACTACTGAAATATACAAATCAATTACCTGCCACCCCATTGGTGACCCTATGCCTGTGGCCGCCGGTTGCTTCATGCTGGGCGTTATTGCTAACTTGGCGCATGTAACAGCTGTACCAGGATGTCAGATTCTTGGAGGCTAAACTGCCTTTATTCACTCTTGCCATTGCAGTAGGGGGCATACGAGACAGTAAATATGCTCACAAATCACAGGTCGCCGCTGTCAACTGTATGTCAATAACACAAGCACTACAACCAACACACCTTCCTGTTTTCAAATTCACTACTCAAACATCGACTGATCAGAAGAGTGCTTCCATGAAGTGTATGGTCATAGTATCCGTCAAACTGTTTGTTTCATGCTCTATTTGTCCTTCATAAATTTTTAATGACCTTCAGTTTTAAATCCCGAGGCATGAAGAACTTTCAAATTAGCATTAAAATAATTCCACAAAATCTACATGGCAGCAATCTGTCATTATGCTGCATATCAGTGGTGCACAGACAGAAAGGGAAATGGGCTGCACTATCAAGATCCTGCAGGTATTGATCAAAGAGAGGTATACGACATGTGACAGGTACTCCAGAGCACAATCCACAGGTACACTGTCACCATGGACCAGAGTCCAGCATGTCTCTCAGTATCCACTATTCCTGGTAAGTATTCCACGGAAGTAAGCTCCGATTTGAAACAGTTTGGAGTTCACAGTTTCCTGTTAGTCCACTCCGAGTGTCCCAAACCTGCCGAACCTTTGACCTGGGGATGCGGACAGGTGAAACTGACATGCCCTCTCTAATTAAGTGACACGCGTTAATTACAACAATGACGCTTCTGTTTCTCCACACAACAAATGTCAGTTGCCGGCACACAGGGACAGAACAGTTCAACCATGACAGGGCATGATTTTGTTACAACTTGGGAATACAGAGGCAGCTTCACTCTTGACGACACAGATATCTGGTTTAGTGTGAAACAGTCTGATTGGCTTTCAGGTCCCAGGTTTGTTTCCCATTGGTCTGATATCTCTTTTAGAAAAGCATACATCAAGGGTCTTGAGTGACCATTCATAACAGAATTCTTATGGATTAGGTATAAAGATATCAGTATCAAATATTAATTGTAATACACTTACATATTATTAGGAATGTCACAAAGATTTTCTGGGTGAATAACTTTAATGACAAAGAAACTCAGGGGATAATGAATAACTGTTCCATGCTGAGTATGATCTGCACGGATTATAGCTTTATAATCCTGATCCCAACTCAACACCGCAACTAATGAGCAATAAAACTTCATATTGGTAATGTCATGCAATATGCTTGTTTAACTTTAGAATACTTAGGTACATACAGTCAGGAACAGGCCTCCACATAGGAGAGGTCTCCACACACGCTGACATGTTTCACAAGGAACAAAGTCTACTGTAATAAATCTTTCCCCAAACTTATTACTTACATAATGTTACAACAGACAAAATGTCTGACATGGATTTATCACCCTGTGTAACGGCATGACTTACCACTCATTTCAGTTATTGTAATATTAGACAATGTACTTTCAATCAATACACCATCTTGGGTTAAAATATAGAAATAGTTGATGAAATATGGAAACAAGTAAACTCCAGATTAATATATAATATTCTTTGCATACACCCCAGGATGTGTTGTTTATCAATACAGTAAACGATGAAGTGGAACACTTTTTATGGATAGACAACTTCTTTGTTGCAGTAGTTGCGACGTTTCGGTGTAGATCCTAGCACCGTTATCAAGCAAATACATTTTATTTGCTTGATAACGGTGTTAGGATCTACACCGAAACGTTGCAACTACTGCAACAAAGAAGTTGTCTATCCATAAAAAATGTTCCACTTCATCATACCAGCTTCTAAATGCCACTTAAGGAAGTTACAGTAAATGATGTTTATAACAAAGAGGCTTGTGACAAACTGATACAACAAACTCAGAAAAAGGAGCTGTGTATATACATCCAGCCACTTGATTGATATGGTGGTCATGTGTGTAACAAACAAAAGTTATAATGAACTAAAATTACTGGTACCTTTCAGTTTGTTTTGGACCATAAGTAAAGTTTACTGTCATTGTGTATCATAGTACACGGATATTATTGCACCTTTGTGTGACTCAACTGATGTGCAAAGTTAACTTAAATTGAGACAAAACTGATCCCTTTGTAGGTATTGTTGATTATAACATGGCCGTCCCGCATGGAGAAACATCATCAGCTAGCATCAACAGGTAGACAGTTGTGTTGTCAGATATATTTATATATCAATATATATATATATATTGATTGGTGGAAACTGAATAGGATATAGGTAGCCTTTTTATGAAACACATTATGTGGGTCAGACGGTTGTGTGATTTAGCTCATTAGTCCTTTCTTGCATGGCTGCATTTCGGTAATGTAACAAATTTGTTTGCATGTGTGGCTTCAGGTATCGTGGGTTATATGCCGCCAATGTTCTTGTTAATATTATGAATAAAACATTCAACTGTCAAGAATGTACACATTACTCAACAGAAGCAACTGGGTAGGTTTCAAACTAGGGTGTAGAGTTATGTAACTGTAGCAAATGTTTTGAGAAAGTATCATCTTTGAGCGTATTTTGATTATTTAGAAGTAGCTACATTCAGCATACCCTGGATTATTTTACGCATTATTTTGCCATTATGAC